GGTGGTACTATTTAACTATGAGGAAAGAACTCAGCGACACTACTTGGGTCATACAGACTGCGTTAAATGGTTAGTATATAACATTTGCATGTAAGTATGTATGTAATAATGCAGAAATATATATATTTTTTTTATTCTCTCCTACTGTATGTATGAGCTCATTATTGTCATCATAATTGTAGTTATTTTCTGTTTTATCAATCCCAGTAGATTTCACTGTAGTAAACACTGCACAAATGAACAGTGCTAGAGCAGTCCATGCTAGCTTAGGGTTTCTGGCTTAAATGTAAAACAGTGGCATATGTAGACAATCTAAGAGTGCCAGATTAGAGAAAGGATCTTTGCATAAATTACTCTAAATAGATGTTCCAGAAATTAAAAATTATTGCCAGCCTAATTCTAAATCAGTGATTTACAGGCAGTATGGCAAAGGTGTAGTCTTAAAGGAGAATTAGAAAACCAAAAAAACCTCATTTTTTAATAGATGCCCCATCCAAATATTAAGACTGGGAAATCGGAAAGATGTTTGCAAAGCAAACCAGAGAAGCAGGGAAATTGAAGCCAACGTCATTGTGGGTGCAAAGGCAGTTGCTGACTTTACGATGTTAGTCTGAAGAGTAGTGCACGTAATGTAATGGTGAACATAAGCTCCCTACTGTACCTGAATGGAGAAGAGTTGCCATCTAAACCTCTTCTCTCCTGGCTGTGCTTTGATAACTTAATTGCTTCCTGTGGGAGGAATGCTGTCAGTCTTGTGTTCTTCGCTTTCATTCAAAAGACTAGACTGAATTCTAAATGTTTTTGGTGTCCATCACTCTGATATCTTCAGGCTCCTCCCTGCTCCCCCTTTCCTGTTTCAATGGCTTTCTTCACCTTTATAATTTTACAGAGAAAGCAAATCAGGTCGGTGGAAAAATCACTAGGACTAAAAGGATGCGTACTCTGAAATCTGTTTTTTCACATCAGCTCCAAAGCAAAATGTGATAAGCAAAAGCAGATTTTTACTTACTCTAGTAGTGCACCATACTGGAGAATTTCATTAGTACAATTACATCAGTAACTCACTCCAAGTGGCAGTAATTCCTGACTCCTGAGTGCGCAAGCCCTCAGCCAGCTTTTCAGCTGTTTTTTCCCAGGTTCATGCTATCTGTAGGTTTAGGCATAAAATATGCTTTAGTCTTTATAAATATGGCATATAACTATGTGTAGGAAGTTCATCATGAGACAATGTATATTTTGTTACAGTGGACTCCCAATATAATGCAAACTTTAGATTTGTCAGGGCACATGTGGAGGTGACTCTTCTGGCACTCCTGGTTTTGTGCCAGCAGCCATCGCAAGAGCCTGGTCGACCCATTAGTACAGCGTGTAATGAAATAGTCTGATGAAAAACATTCAAGCTGTCTCATTAAAAGTGGGATTTAGGATTATAAGTGTCTTCATGGGCTTCTGTTGAGAAAGAAAAAAAAAAATACAAAAAACCTCTCAGTTTTGAAGACCTATGACAGCAAAAGCAAGTCATATTTCTGTCTGTCTTAGTCTTGCAGTTCATCCAGACAAAATTAGAATTGCAACAGGACAGTTAGCTGGAGTGGATAAAGATGGAAGGGTAAGTAATAGAGCTGTTGAGCAGTAGTATCTTGTTTTGAAAATCAGGAAAAAGTGTTTTGGGTTTTTTTAATCTCATCATCACCTTCTGTTTGCAGTTTATTTTATGCACTGCATTTACTGAGACTTTGCTGTTTCTAAGGTAACAGCCTGTATCTCTAGCAAAAGACAGTAACAACTGTCTAAGTACTCAGCCGTACATCAAAAAGAGCAGAAGCTCAAAGTCCTTTATCTGTGACACAGGAAACTCAATTTTAATTCTGCAAGCAAATGTGAAGCTTGTAATTGATTTATAAGGCCACGTCATTTCTGTCACATTTCTTTCAATAAGTCTTCTCCCAGAGGAGAACAAGTCCTCAGTTCTGTGGGTCAGTGTACTCTTAAGGCTTCATGGAAGAGGAAACCAACTTTGAGAATTCATGGAAGGTGTGTCAAGCTTTCCTACAAACTTTCTCATTTGAGAGCAATTGCGTTTAAATGCTCTGGCTGATGGCAAATTCTGTCAGAATTTGAATAATTGGATTGTCTTCATGAAGTTACAGACAGAGGAAAAAAAAAGGGGGGGTGGGGAAGAAGATGGATACTATGAGGTGTAGAAGCACATTAAATATAACCCTTATTCAGATGTTCAACTTAATTTCTTAGATTTTGTAAGAAATTGATGTGGGGTTTTTTGTATAGATATTGTTATGATTTCCACTGAACATTTGTTGAATCTCGTTAGGGCTGGTTGGTTTGTTTTTCCATCGGTGGGATGATTTATTGTCCCTTTCTATGGTGAATGCTGTCCTTAAGCCAACTTAATTCCCACTTTATTTGTGATTGTTTCACATTTATGAAGCTAAGCTGGTTTCGGATAGTACTTGTATGAAATATAACCATGGAGATTTTCATTGAGTGGTTGGTGATGGTTAGGGGACTCGGTGCACCAGGGTTAGTTGTTTTTTTATTTTATTTTTTTCCTACTTTATATATTAAAAAAACAAGGTTTGATCATTATTTCAGTTGTTGCATAAGATTGCTAGGTCTGGGGTCTGAAATGCAAGATGACTCTTCCATTATTTGTTCAATGACTTAAATTGGGCAAAGATTTACTTTCACAACTACCAAATGCCACCATACTTAATTTCTTGCCTCGATGGCACCACTGCCATGTTTGTAGCCCAGACATGGGGAGCAAGTTTGTCTTGACTCTCACCTTTTGCGCTTCAAGATACTATCCGTTGTTAGCACGGGTCATCCTGCATTTCGGTCTGCAGTTTGCAATTCAGGTAGCATCTGCTTAACAAAACTTGACACCTGCATATGATGCTCTCGCTGTTGATGACGCTGTTTGTCCCATTGCTTTTTCACGCAGCCTCTGCAGCCCCATGTTAGAGTATGGGACTCGGTGAGCCTGGTGACGCTGCAGGTTATCGGCCTCGGGACTTTTGAACGTGGAGTGGGGTGTTTGGATTTTTCAAAAGCGGTAAGATGGGTGCGATTACTTGGTGTGTTAAATAATTTATCCAATCCTGTGTAAACAGGAAGGAAATCTCTGGAGACTTTTGTATGTGGTTGTCTGGCTGATCCGTTTTGGTATTAAAAGCGCATCAGTGAAGTTTATGTATACTTTATAAAACCAGCTGATAGTGAGTTAGCTGGAAAACCAGGAAATCGCAGGTGTAAAATTACAGTAACAAACTAGCACAGTGAATAAATGGCAGGCAAGAAAAGCCTTAACTAGAAATTGAAGTCCGTGCTGGGTTTGGTGGTTTGGTTCTGTTTGTCAGCGGCTTGGTTTTTTGTTTGGATGCAAGTTTGTTACTGAGGTTCATGAAGACAAATTTTAGTGAGTTCTGATAAAAAGGGTAACTTTTCTGCTTGCACAGCTGGAGTAGTTTTTTATCCACCAACAGGAAATTAAAAAAAAAAAAACCCACCACCACATTATCTTGTGCTATTTTTTACCAAGGAATAATTTGTTCAATTTGTGCCACTACTTTTACATGGAAAAAAAAAAATAGAAGTCTTGTTACTGAGCCCACAGAATTTATCGGAAAAATCAGTAGCAAATGGAGATGTGCTACTTGGCATTGATAAAGTTCTCATTTCAAAATTGGCAATGAGTTTATTTTTTGTAAAATATGTGTATATTTTAATCTTTAAGCTGCCTTTGTATTTTCACCAAAGCATTAAGACGTATCAGACCTCCTGAAACCCTAGGCTGTGATTCCTGCACCCCAGCAAGAAGAATTAATACATGTAAAAAAATTTAAAAACAGCAGACATTCTTTTTCTGCATATTTTGCTAATAGGGGAAGAGCTAATAGGAGGCTGCTCAGGGCTGTGGTCCAGCTGGGTTCTGGGCGTCTCCAAGGATGGAGACTCAACAGTCTCGCTGAGTGACCTGTTGAAAAGAAATGTTTACGCGTTGAAATGTTACTAAGTTAGTTATATCTAGGTTTTGTCTTTCAGTAAATAAAAGAATTTTTTTTTTTTTTTTTTTTTTTTTACAAATAGGGGTTAGCATAAATAAAATAGTATTCCTCTCACATTATTCTGTTGTTTCTGTCACTCTAACAAATCAATAAAACTCAGAAACTTTTTTTTTTTTTTTTAAAAGGTGAATAAATACATGTTCCATCATCTTAAAAATAAAGCAAACAAACAAAAAAAATCCACTAAGGTATTTTTGAGGACTAGATTTTAGTTTTTATTAGTTTGTTTTGCAGCTGAAACTGATTTTGATACTTTATTACAGTCTCATATGATTCCTCACTGGACTGAAACAGTGAATGGGCAGTATCTAGAACTGTGTTTTTACCACATAATTCCATTAAGCCATGCAAGAGCTGTGTATATCACCAATGCTGTCTTCAGGGTGCCTTTCCACTTAATAATTGACAAGTATATTTGCATATTACTGCTCATAATAGTATTAGTTTTTGGGAATAAAAATTTCAGCCACCTCTGTTTTCATAATTTGTTAGAGAATACAGTTGAACTGCAAGAATCAACTTTAAAATAAATAAGGCCTCCTCCAAATCTTTCTACACATGTCCTTGAAACAACTGGTTTGTGCAAGTATGTGTTGCTGCGAATAAGTATGTTTTTGTTCTAAGATTTTCTGTCTGCTCTTTTAATTCCATATAGCCATATTTACCATTTTTTGGTAAAATTGTTCAAAATAAGCTGTTTCAGTTGTTTAATACTGTAGATGCCAGTCTTTCTGCTCTGTAAGCATCATTTTATTCAGAAAGTGTTACCTTTGCTGCAGTTTTACCAACTACATGATGAAACTGCTGGTACTTAATGCTCCATGAGGAAAAACTGAGATGCGCTTCAGAATTTGAATGTAAAGTTGTGTGTATGTGATGGTGACATTTAAGAAAAAAACACAAGTGGAGCTGTTTGTCCTCTGAGACCTGAGCAAAAATGAAATATTTGCAGAATAGAAAAAGGGAGAAACCTCTTTGCTACTAGCATTTTTTGCTTTCTTGCAAACAAGAAAGCAAAAAAAAGACAACAAAAACAAACTAAAAGGGAAAGACTTGGTAAGATACTTTTAAAGCTTTCCTAGAATGTTATTTGAAGCATGGTCATTTTTTGTGAGATTATGCAAAAATCTAAAAAAGTCTTTAAAAGAAAAGGAAAATACCAGATATATCGAGCTTATAATTACTTTAAAAGGACTTGCTTAATTTATATTTGTACCTTTGTGGTTTTTTAAAATACTACAGCCCTTCCCTGTTTTAAATGAGGTATGATAGTACTTTGTCAGCACTTCTTTTTTTCTTTTTCCTTTAGGATTCTGGTACTCATTTGTGTGTAATTGATGACTCTAATGAGCATATGCTCACTGTGTGGGATTGGCAGAGGAAATCAAAAATAGCAGAAATAAAGGTAATTATTGCACAAATTAATATTCTGAAATACGAGTGGTTTTATTCCCGTAAATACAACAGTTTGTGAGCCACACATTTGATCTTACTTGGAAACTGCAACTGTGTAATACTGCTGGCTTGTGTAAGGGCACAAAAGAATTGTATTCTTAACTTGTATATTGGAAGGGGTTTGAATATTGGAGCGCTTATAATTACATTTTACTCATCCCTAAGAGCCAATCCAAATAAAGCAATTCTCTGTTATTTTCCTAACTTAAAAAAAATAAATCCTGGGAAATTCAAGAAACTGAAGTGATGATTCAGTCTGTAGTTGCTTATTTAAAAAAAAAACAACCAACTTTTAGACATTCCTTATTTTCATTTTTGTCTGAATCGAGTTCCAGACATTGATTCTCGGTACATATGTCTCTTCCCGTTTGAGGTCCACTAGTACTTTTGTAGGCTGCAATCTTGTTTGCTTTCCTGTTTCTTTCATAACGTTCTAAATTTCTGATCAATGAGAAGTGTTCAGAGGTGTTGCGCTCAATGTTCGTGTAAAGTTGATTCCACTGGAGACACCCCATCCAATACTAACTTGCTATTGGAGTCCATATTTTGAGACATCTTGCTTTGCATTATGCAATATCAAGCAAGGAGATATTACGTGGATGTGGAACTGAGTATTTTTTTGATTTTTTTTAATCATGAGTCAGCAAGTGGAATACTCTACAAGCGTATATGTCTAGATGATTACAAACTTGCAATTTCAGATAACAAAATCAGGTTGGTTTGACCCATTTTCTTTAAATTATGTTGACCAATACTAATTATATTCTATTCTGTAAGTTTTAATGTAATTCTGTGTCAGTATTTTCATTTCCTTGCTGATATTTAATGTGAAGCTATTTGGCATACGCCTTGTATTTCCCATTTTATTGACGTTATGTTTTGACTATTTTCACTCTCCAGGGAGTTCCTTGGTGTTTCAGAATTGGCCAAAAACGATTTGGCAGGGACAGCTTGCCCTTCAGTACTTATTCACGTTTAGGACTTGATCTTGCAGTGTCTTAAGCACCTTCCACGATAGGTGGTGTGAGCAGAGTTTTATCCCTTGAGCTAGGGTGCAAAACGGAAGCCTTTTCTCAGCTGAACTCCATTAAATTTTTTAGTCCTTAGTTTCCATACGATTTGTGGATATAGCAGACCCACTCATGTGGAGGAAACTGTGTGTGAGAAGCGTAATTCAATAAATGTGGCCGTCAACAAAAAATGAAACTTAAGAAGGTTGTTTTCTTAAAGTGAGCCAAAAATGGTGAGGTGGGAAAGGATACTCCCACAGGTGCTGCTTCAGCAGCACTTGCATGTACGCTTCTTTAAAGCGTGGGCTTAAATCCCATAGAAGTAAATGCATTGATGCATTTACTTAAGTGTTTTGTAGAGTCATTGCCTCCAGGAGATTGTCTTCAAAGACAGTTTGGTTGAATATACATTAGAAGTTAGATAAATGACCAGTCGGTTTGTTATGTTTGCAAAATCTATTGGTAAAGGATGAAATACTCACTGAGGTGTTAGTAATTCAGTACCAGTATATGCAGCCAGTAAAAATACAAAGGTGGGACTTTATATTTCAGTTTTGAGTTTTGCAGGTTTCTTTTTGACTTTTTCGTGAGGCGGAAATGAGAGGAAGAAAGAACCCAAAGGAATTTTTACAGAGTTTCAGAAAGAGGATGATGAATATGATCCTACTGTGTTACCATTGTCTCAGTTGCCTCTGTCACAGCTTTGTTATCCAGAATAGCAAACTAGTCTGTGTAGAAACTAAGCAGGGTTTTCAACCCAAAAAAGTGTCTTTTATACATCGTTCGCTTTCCATGGCAGAAGTCTTAGCTATTCCAGAGGGCAGAAGCTTTTGTGATTTAGAAAGTGAACGTAAACCCCTGACTTTCCTACTGAAGTTTTATAAAGATCTCTTATGAATGTAAAAAATCAATATGTATCAAATGGTATGTGCGGTCATTCAGAGAGTTGATTTAGCACAGAACACTTATGGATTCTTTCAAGCATACAATGAGCTGTCTGGTTCCTCATATCTCTGTTCTGAAACTTGGGATTTTACATGTGTTTCTTGTAGTTAATGTCCCATCTGAATAAATATTATTTCTGTTATTATTGCAGACTACAAATGAAGTTGTTCTTGCTGTAGAATTCCATCCAACTGATGCAAATACCATAATAACATGTGGCAAATCTCATATATTCTTCTGGACCTGGAGCGGCAATTCATTATCAAGGAAGCAAGGGATATTTGGGGTAAGATTGTCTTGGTATCAGGTCAGTTTTAAATCGATGGAATGAGCTGCTCACGCTTTCTATAAATTTGCTCCGTTGTTACCATGTACTGTTTGAGCAGAGAGGTAAACAAAGAAAAAAGGTTAAATTCTGCTTACGTGTATGCAGGGTGTATGGGTGTGGATACATTGTACTATACATAATGACGTAAAGAGTACAAGCAATTATCCCTTTCTTTTGCTTATTTTGTTTCAGAAATATGAAAAACCCAAATTTGTTCAGTGTTTGGCTTTTTTGGGAAATGGTGATGTGCTCACTGGAGACTCAGGTGGGATAATACTTATATGGGGCAAAACTACTGTAGAATCTACTGCAGGAAAAGGACCTAAAGGTAGGATACATTCACAGTTAATCGCAGATTTTAGATAGTCTGTAGAAGACAAACATAAAGGATTGCCTTAGAAAAGGAATAGGGAAACAGGCCTGACTAAGGGTGTACACTTCCTATTATTAACGGGTGGTACTAAACTCCTTCAAGTCTCATGAATTTGCTGACTTACAAGCAGTCTAGAGTTTCTCAATAATTAATGAGACTGTGCCTGAGGTGAATGAAAACCACTTTATCTAAATGTTTTGCATTTAAAAAAATGTGCAGTTAATCAGCTTTCCTTTCATCCTGAGATTTGAAAAAGGCTGTAGGATCAGTCTGAGGATTCTGCAGGCTACCTTTGCCTCTTAAGGCTTATGTTGTACCATGCTTAGTCTCAGAGGAATACCATTAAGTGTTGAAGCTGGTGTTAGCAGGACTTGTATGTGAAGGAAAAATACGATGCGTAGTTGTACCAGTTAGGCAAATAACAGTATCTGGTTTAGCAGATACTCAAGTCTTGGCTGTAAAATATACTTTAAAACCCATCTTATTTGAAATTTGGGTTAAACTTTCTCTTTAGGGCAAAGCTTTTGTAAAAAAGAAAGGAAAATGATTTGTTACCCAACATACGCAGACCTGGCACAGTTGAGCCCTAAGAATAATTTATTTTACTTGGCAGCTATTTCAAACACTCTGGTTTAAATTGGTATGCCAGGAAAACATTCATGTAAAAAATAAATTTTTAATGGTAAGTCTGTTTTTGTAGGTAAATCTTTTTCTTGTCTTTCAAGCTAACTGCAATGGAAAAGTAATTTAACAAATTATCTGATGTTTAATTTTGAAGTTCTTGTGCAAAAATAACCTTTTCCCAGTATAATCTTAAAAGATATCGAATAGAACATTTATTTACATTGGCTTGCTTAAATATGGGATCTTTTAGTTGGTTTATCACATTAGATTGGTCACAGGACTTGATCTCAGGCTCTTTTTCACAGTGTGAGAGCATGCTGACTTGAACTGACTTGAGCCACAGGCAGAGTCAGTGAAGTTAAGCGGGTATTTATTTGGGTGGTGTTTTAGACTTTTTCTGTGATTGCTATTTGAAAATATGCAAGTCTCAAAGCACCAGAATCTTGCTTTTTTTAAAATGTACTTTCCTACAGCAGTTCTTTTGACATGAAGACTGAATTAGGATGCAAAAGGCTTCCTTTGCTACCTTTGTTGTTTAATTTTCTCTTTCATTCTTCCTAGTGTTTTCCTTTGGGTAGACTGCTGTATTGATAGGTGCCAAATGCTGCTTATACTATTTTTAAGTGAGGCAACATCCAGCATTAGATATTGGGTTCATGCATCCTGGAAACTTTGCTATAAATAATTTGCTTTTCATTCCCATAAGGCTATAGACAACAAGTCTTTGACTTTCTTTTAATAAAATAACTTTAATTCTTTTCTAATAATGACTTGCTAAATATTTATTGACTCTGTTGACTCTAAAGGACAGTTTCTCTTGCATCTGGAAAAACTGTGTTCCCTTGGATAGCAGAGAAATGAAAGCATTTTGCAAATAGTTGTTGGTCCTGCCTTCACAAGTTGTAGGACAATCAATCTCAAAAATGTTTCTATTCAGAAAGGCAGGTCCTTTGTTTTATCTTTTTATCCTGTAAGAAAACACTACCACCTTGTGTTTGCAATACTAATGCAATACTAATAGCCTGACAGTCCGAATATGATTATTTATTATACACCATTACTTTGTTCTTCTGCCAAAAGGCACAGCTTCTCATAAACCCCAGGTGAAAAAACAAGTAGTGTTCTTTATTATTTTCTTTTTGTGCATGTAGGAGTATATCAGATAAGCAGACAAATCAAAGCTCACGATGGCAGTGTGTTCACACTCTGTCAAATGAGGAATGGGATGCTGCTAACTGGAGGTGGGAAAGACCGAAAGATCATCCTGTGGGATCATGATTTGAATCCCGAAAGGGAAATTGAGGTAAGCAAGCAAGAGTGACAAGGAAATTGCCTTGAGCAAGGTATTGACTAGCAAGACGGGGCCCTCCCCACCCTTTGGAGGACTGGTAGTCAGGATGATAGAATATCTTCTGGTTGTTGTCTTTTTAAGTGGATGACAATATTTTATGATAAAAGTGTTTACATTTTCAGCCTATAAGTGAGCCTCTGTGAGGTTTCAGTTCTCCTCTGTTTAAGCTGAACAGAAATTTTAAGGTTTTTCTTTCCTCCAAGCCCTTCCTTAGTTTCTTTTATTCGTCCCTTTTTTGAGGATATTCTTTAGTATCGCCTGTGTCTTTAAGTTTGCCTGTCTGGAGAAAGACAGTGTTGCCAGGATTTGGGTGTTTTAATAGAATTTTTGACATAAGGCAAACAATTAGTAGGATACATACGGGTATTCTGTAAGAATTAATGATTAATAAGCTATGTTGGGGAACTTCTTTTAACTTTATCCTAAAACAGGTGTTTAGTGAATACGTATGTCTTTGTGATTTGGCTATATGGCAATGCTAGGTAAATGGGGATGAACTGGAAAAAAAATGTACATTATGGATTTTAAAATACTTTTTTTCCCCTGACAATAAGATGACCTCTTGAAATAATGTGTTCTTCTTAAACAGTTGTTCTAATAATGGTTTATTCCACTTACCTAGTGTCCATTCATAGCCGCATTTTCTTCTTAACACGTACGTTTAGTTCCATCTAGAGTTTGTTACTACCTTGAATCTAATACTGACCTTTAGAAAACATGGCTGAGAGTAAGTAAGCATTGACTATCGTATACAACTCTTAGGCTTACGTAACACACTCTCTTCATATCAGTCTCTCTGTTTTCCTTTTGTTAATAATGTTATGTTAAAGCTAATTTTTTGTGTTGAGAAATATTACCAGAACCCTGACAGACAAGTTTCTGAATGATTGCATTGATTTTCTAGCTCGTGTGGCTAATATTAAAGTTAGCGTATTTTCTAAAGATAAATCATTTAGAAAACCAAACAAATGCACACTGTAAAATAAAACAGTGTATTAGACTTCAAGCATGCAGTAAACAAACTCAAAATTCGGAGTCGTTGCTGACATAAGGCATATGAACATTTACTTAAGGCTAATCAGGAAGCATTAAGAAAATCAGGAAGCATTTACTGTGTGCTACAAGTTTTTTCTTATTTTTCACAATGCGTTTCGAAAAGTAAACAGTAACTATATATTATTCCTAACCTTATAAGATGAGTAGTAAGGTTGTGGAGTGCATTTGTTTACTGTATTTGACACTTAAAAATTCATGTAATTTAATTTGTAATTTTTTCTACTGAGACTTATTAAAATGGCATAATTGTGATTGTTCTGGAGTGAGATCATCTTGTATGGCTGTACTGAACAAATAAATGAGGTAGGTTTGGGGTCAAGTCCTGATCTAGTGTATACATGATTAGATTGTTCCTTTTTACTGGGAGAACTGCAGTTCTGGTACTGTCGTCGTGCACTATTTGTGGCCTTCAAAAATAAGCGTCTATCAAGATGCGTGATGTGCTTTTACAGATGTTTCTTTTCCTAGGTTCCTGACCAGTATGGAACAATCAGAGCAGTAGCGGAAGGAAAAGCAGATCAATTTTTAGTGGGTACTTCACGAAACTTTGTTTTGCGGGGAACATTTAATGATGGTTTCCTAGTAGAGGTACAGGTGAGCATGACTTTTTTTTTTTTTTTTTTAAACTGTAACCTAAAAATGTAAAGGCTTTCCCTGCTGGTGTGTTATTTTAAGAGAGTTTTTATTTTATTCATTGCTAAATCGTATGTGTTTTCTTTCCAGGGACATACAGATGAACTCTGGGGACTGGCATCCCATCCTTTCAAAGACTTGTTTTTAACATGTGCCCAAGATAGGCAAGTTTGTATGTGGAACTCTGTGGACCACACACTGGAATGGACCAGGCTGCTAGATGTACGTCGACCCCTTAATGTTAAATATAAAGCTGGAAAATAGGAAAAAACATTAGTTTTCTGCAACACCCTTGTCCCATCTGATTGCAAGAGAAGCAAAAATCCTGTGGTTATGGCTTTAAAAACAGTTATTCGGAAGTTTTGATAAACTTAACCAGGCTCATCAGACATTATATAGACCGTAATCTGGTTACCAGTGTCTGATGCCATTTTGACAATCCAAGCTGAATAAAACTTAGTCCTTTGTTCTTGTTACAGTTTAACTTTTTTTCCAATTATTCAGACAATCTGAAGAGGATATCATACAGTTGTGTAAGGTTTGGCTTTAGATGTCCTTCCTTACTGTCATTGTTCATTTCATATTTTGGCTAGTTCTGTCCTAATACCCAAGCAAAAGTATCTTTTTACACAGAAATTTAGGCTTTTTACTTTCAAGGTCACGTAGTGTTGATACGTTAAAAGAAACTCTGCCTGAGGATTATAAGCACGCTGCTAACTGATTGGTTTTCCCTGTGTCAGCTCACCTCAGGCTTTTAGGGTAGCTTAGGAGAGGTGTTTGACCGTAAGGAAGCGGGCGGGTGAATGACATGTCTGTGCCTCTCCGTTCAGGAACCGGGGCACTGTGCTGACTTCCATCCCAGTGGAGCAGTGGTCGCGATAGGAACGCACTCGGGCAGGTAAATGCCTTTCGACTGAGTTGTGGTGGTTGAAAGTTTAAAGCGGACAACTTGGTACTACGCATCTTATGTATTGGAATTCATTTGCTTTTTATTCTTTTTGCTTGAGGTTAAGTAGCCTAAAAAGCTTGGGGGAAGAGGACAGATCTTTCTTACATGGGTTAGATGAAGACAGAAGGATTATTTGACTGTTGTTAGGCTGTTTTGGTTTTTAACTACTCTTTCATGAAAGCCCAGATCTTCTTTTTTTTTTTTTTTTTTAACCTTTTTTTTTTGCAGGGTTTCCGTGTGTGCTCTTTATTGGCTTTACCAAGCATCATATATTTTAATATTGTGTGTGTATGTTACATTAGTTTGTAAGACAGGTACAGTACAGATCTTTCTCTTTCCCAAATCAAACACACTTGCAACCTTCTAAATTGATGTGGAGAGGCAAGTGAACAGGCTCGGATTTTGATTTTTGTGTAAGACAAAGTTCAACATGGCACATTGCTGCAATGAAGTGCTATCGAGCTGTTCATATTCTTCCCAAAATCGTTGCGTATTTGAAAGCTCTCAAAACACAACCTGAATCTTTTAACTCAGGCTTCTTTCAGTGGTGGAAAAAATTTGTTTTAATTCATAGTCAAACTGGCTTGGTATCATCTCCCAAGAAAGGAGTCTCATGCAATGGATTTTTAGCAAGTACCAATTAAAAGAAAAACCAGGATATTCATAGCATTAGAAAGGTGAGAGAAGCAGATATTAAATCTACAGACATTTTTATTCTGTTTTTCAGTTACACCTCATGATTGACAACTCGATGATAAAATAATGCATAGTTCATGTAAGAAAATTGAGATTTTTTTTTTGTGTGTTTAATTCGCCCCCTAGAATTTTTTTATACCTAACCTCATGCCTAAAAAACATTTAAAGTTTGATTTTTAGAAACTGCTGAGCATGTGCAACGCTCAAGCTTTCCTGGAAAAATGAAATGTTAAATACTTTTTAAGGAGTTTCCTTCTCCAAGATGAAGATGCAGTCTGCACTAAATTCATTAGGTATAACACGAGGCTAGAAAACCTAGTTTACCTTCCTAAGAAAAATCTTGCTGAGCTCTTGTATATTTGGTTTCCACGTTGTACCTTTCCATTTTTTCATCTCTTTCTAATTATAGCATTAAATTGAACAAGTGTTTCTACCTTCATTAAACACAGCAGAAGATACTGGCCTAATAGTACTTGAAACAGAGAAAAGGGGAAAAAAAGGTCAGGCTACATTTCTTTAGCGTTATTAGATGTTTTTGAAATTACATCAAAGCATAATGAAGGCATATTGAGCAGATTAAACATTCAGTCTTGTGTTTGCTTTTGAGTTTTGGGGTTTTTTTTTTTCCTCCCAGAGCATTTTAACATTACTTTTTCAGTTTAGCACTTTTCAGTTTAAATTTGTATTTTTTAATTACTTGAGGCAACCAGTTTATACTGTGTTGGATAAATTTATGATGATGGCCTTGTTTTGTTTTGTTTTTTTAACACTGTTGTTCTTGGAACCGAGCAGTTATATTTTCACCATTATTTTTTATCGCGTTCTGAAATTGCATGATTCAATGATAGGTTTGAGATACACAAATGAAACTGAATTGAAATGAGGCCTGCTTAGTGTACAAGTGTATGAGAAATAAATGGCGTTGTGAATCAAGATAAACAGAACAGTTTTAAATCTACTGCCTAACCAGCGGCATCATGCAGTGCTTTCTGCGCCAGATAATCCAGTCCAAGGGAGTTATTTCCCAAGGAATGAGGGCTGCATGATGTATGTCGATTAACGTAGGAGAGAAAATAGTCTCGGGCCCTTAACAAGTTATTAAATAACTTACTTGGTTCATAGCCCAAAATGCATAAAGCCAATATTAAATGAGTCTAATTTGTTTCGAGTTCAATAAACCTTGAATGTGTCTGTCTACTGTTGTTCTAGCGCTGCTCTGCTTTCAGTATGGAGGTCTTTGAGACAGGAGTAGGGAGTGCAGCGTTAAGAAAGTTGGGTTTGATGGTTAAAATTGTGACATCTGAAGAAAACTGAATTTTCTACCTCTCTTCCCATTCTTGTCAGTTGTTTCACAGTGGTGTGTTTTTATCAGGCCAATGCATCATGTTTTTGGTGTGCTTGTCACATACCACTTCCCATGATGAGTATTTCGGTATCATTTCCCTTTTTGGGCTGTCTGCTGCAGGTTTTGTTAACCACTTCTTTAAATACCTTCTGTGTGCCTGATCATCAATTGTCTGGGATTAAGCCTGGTTTGGAGAGAACTAATACTTTTTGTGGATCCTGCTGTTTGCTGGAAATGCATCGCTGAAAAAACTAAAAAGGGCTGGCAATCAGAAATCCTATCAGAAAAGTGGGTTTTTCAAGGCACTGTACAGATCCTTTTGCCGTGCTGCCAGTGGTATTATTTGCAGGGAAGTAGACCTTTCTGTGACTAACGATGTAGAATATCTTGAGTGCTGTGCACTGCAGAAAAAAAGACTAATAAGATTCTTACAGAAATACTAACGTTATTAAGAAAACTGAGGGCTGGAGGACAAGACCAGCATAAGCCAGAGCCACAAGGAGGTAAATCAGTCAATAGAGCTATTAGGATTTATATCAGTTCAACATCTGTTGTGGTATTAAGATGAAGAAGCCTAAATATCCCAGGGAACCAATCTTGTAAGATGGGTTGCTTTGTTCACTCTGATTAATGCCTTGCAGGTTCAACATTCAGTATTAACTAAACATGGGAATTGCAAGTGTAAGTGCAAAAATATATTCCTACTTTGGAATACTGCTTCCCTGGTGATTTCATCAGAAAAATTCTGCATTCACAGGTGTGAATTATCAGTAATAAATGTCTGTCATGGGTCAGAATTTGTTTTCCAAAAGAGAGTAGTTTAAGGGGTTTTGTTTCTAAAAACATGTATTTTTTTAGATAGCTTATTAGTATTTTTTTAAAGCAAAGGAATGGGAAGACAAGAAATGGGTGAAAATGGCAAAAGTTCTGTCTTGTTTACGTGAACTCACTAACAAGTTAAGCATGTTATCTTCGGTAACAATTGGGAGAAAATCAGTAAAAAACAGAAATAGCAAAAGAGCTACTATCTTACAGCTGGGATACCATTCATCCATTTATTTAATCTAATCTACGTATCAGAAGTTCTCTGGGCAGCCAAGCTTTGCATTTCACAGCCGGATAGGACTTTTTCAGGGTCAGCTGCCATTTGCATGTTGCATGCCTTCGTGTTGGAAGGAAGATCCTCCCCCAAAGCACAGTCTCAAGGTGGACCCCAAGCTGTTTGCAAGAAGGGCCTGTGTGGGGCATGCCGATGAACTGCTGTAGCCGCTAGACTGGAGAGACAGTTCATGGAGACAGGCTTTCTTGCTGGCAGTTGCAATGTTTGCCACGGCATTGGGAGAGTTTGGAAGACTGAAGAGAGCGTGTCTGATTACAGCTTGTGGAAGCATCAAGAAACAGCTGAACTAGATGTGACCAATGCTTCCATTCTTAAATTAATGTCAAAATTATCACGGTGCATTGACTGTTTCCTTGGTCAGCTAAGATTGCTGCTAATATCTCTTGTTCAGAAAAAAATTTGGAGAAGGACTGGCGTCACAAAATGCTGTCTCCTAATGCCAAATGAAGTTCACTGTGCACTCTTAAGAGCAGCAGAAGTTTTGCATTGTGTTTGATACCACACAATACCACCTCTGTGCTTTCAGTAAAATAGGGGGGTTTTGCATGTTTTTCCGGTTGCATTTTAGGCTCTGGGTTTTTTCATTTTACAGAATATTAACTGGAGGATTACCTGGTTCAGATAGCAGTCTCAAAGGACCAACCTAAAGAGCCGGTCTCAGAGCTAGCATCAAGAGGCATATGTCTGCTGCAGCAGCGTCCCTGCCCTGCCCTGGTTGTGTATTTTGGGACACAGAGGGCTCAGCCCTCCCCTTGGCTGTCTGGCAGAAGCGCTGTGCAGCATGGTCCCCCATGGGAGGGCATGGGAAGGGGGTACCCATCCACTTTGTGGAAGAAAGCTCCTTTTGGTTGTTACTGTGCTGATAATCAGGTTTTATATCTAGGTACCGCAATTATGCTGCTCAAAATAAACAAAGAGGCATCATGCTGTGTCATCTTGCTAGGTAAATAGATTTTACAGTATAGTGCCTAAGTGTTCTGGTAAAGCAAAAGGTCTTCCTATCTCCTGTTTTGCTGTCTGTGCACCAGAGGTGTGTTGCCAACCTGGGCTGAAGCAGAGAGGAGCCTCCACCCTGTGCTGGGTTCAGGAAAACACAAATAAGAATGAGACAGTGGGGCATTGGCTTTCAGACCAGCTTCTCATGTTGCTTGAAAACCAGATGACTTCAACTCAGTGATGCCTCCATGTGTGTTCTTCACACTTCTTGTTGTCCCATCAGGATGTACTTCTAGAGCAGTTTTGCTGTCATGATGGAGTGATTGTTTTTCTTTCTATGGTGGCAAAATGGCATAGGTACCCTCTCTCTTCCCCCCTGCCAAACCCTTTTGTGGTTTTTTGGTTTGGTTTGTTTTTTCAAAATTTATTTTGCTTTCTTCTTTAATATCCACACCCCATCAGGGTTATCAGTCAGGTAACATTTTAGTGAAGCATTTGGTAGGGCCAAAGGGGGCATAGTTTGAACTAAATAGCAGAATAGCAACTTGTAACTCCCAATGCGTTCAGAGGACCTTCAAAGCTTCAGTGTGTAGATTGGAAGAAATCAAAAGTCTGCTTTTAGCAGAGCATGACAGCAGAGAAACTCTTGAGCGTGGTTTCTGCTGGCTGTCCAATGCAAACATATTAGCTGTTTTCCACTGGTTCCATCTGTCTTGCACACAGATTATTCAGCAGTCCGTGGCACGTGAGGCTGAGGTTTTTTTACGTGTATGTCATTTCATTTCTTTCCCGTGGTTCTCTAACCACAGGCTGATTTTAAGCCATTGGGACCAGGCTACTTTCCAGATACCTAGCTGCCGGACACTGGATCCGCGCGAGCTGAAATCTCATCCTCGTCCGTAGAAAGCAGTGATGTGCGCTGTTGTTCCTGGAGTTTATTTTAGCTTACATAGGTTTGTTTTGGAATAGAGGGTCCTACCTTTTGCAGTGCGTTTGTTCCACTGAGTTCACTATTAGGTATCTGTGTGAGGCGGCGGGTGGAATTGCCTTACTCATGTCCACAGTGCGTGAACGCGACGTTTGCCACTAGGGACGGAAACCTGGCCGTAGCGTACGCACACAGTTGTGAGGTCAGAAGTTCGGAGCAAAGAAACTAAATTCTGAGTACAGCTTTAATGTGTTTAGCCATGTTGAGATCTTATGTTTTCATGATAAACATGTATGTATATATATTTTTATTAAACTTTTGTTATCTTTGTTTTGCTAATGTTCACTGTATTTAGGAGTTAGATGGACATCAGAACCATTGCAAAATGCTCAGGTTCTGCTGATCTTGCCTGCCTTGCTGTCAGTGGCCATTTTGGTGTACAGGCCACTGAGTTTTTGTAAGCTCCTGAGCTTTTACATGTGCCTCATAACTAATACTGCAGGTTAAAAGTTATTGTTAAATAATAAAAAATGCAATTAATTACCTTAGTTATAAATCATCCAAGCAGGAAATAAAAAAATACTATGTAATGAACCATCAAATTTCAGTAAATGGTTATTCCTTCTTCCTTTGATAAAATTATTCATAGAAATGGAAATTACTTTGATAAAATTATTCATAGAAATGGAAAGGACTGAGGGGAAAATACCAAATTAGAATATACTTTGTGTTTAAAATGAGTATGGAAATGTTTTCCACTCCCTCCTACTACTTCTTTTTTTTTTTTTTTTTATTAACTTTGCTTCATACAAATGGTAAGATCAGTTTTTATGTCAAAGCTGTTCTTCAAAACGGGGAAGAAGTAGTAGATTAAAATTTAGCTGTAGGCTTAAGGTTTCAGGATGATAAGGTGCAGCCATATTATAGCTATCTGGTGGCATGTTTATCATCCAGAAGACATTTTGGTGATTACTACAGCGTTCAAGGGAGGGGGAAAAAATTGGGCTGTATTTAGAATTTTTTTATATATTCTTCACTGAATCTAGTATCGCTTTGTGAACCAGAAGAGCGTTCCATTAAAAACAGATGTTCGCTGTGCTGCCCTTGAGGGGCTAGCATGAGAAGATGAAGGCAGGCAGTGATTATTGCTCTTTTGCTTGCTTTTTTTGTTCAGTGGAAATGATACTCATTGGAATTCTCCTCTCTCTAGGTGGTTTGTTTTGGATGCGGAAACGAGGGATCTGGTTTCAATACACACTGATGGCAACGAACAGCTCTCAGTGATGCGCTACTCAGTAGGTAGGCAGACTTTTACGTTCAGAATAATTGCGGATAAATGAGATGTCTGTTCTGTTAAACGGTGTTAAACTACTCCCCAGTCACTAGAAAAGGCAGAGCTTTGGAAAAAATCGTTTAAGATGCTTAATATATAACTGAATACTTGGTTACAGATTTGTTTGTGTATGCTAAATCTTGGAGTTTTGTAACTGCAAATATTACAGTCGCCTTTCCCAGCCTTTCCTTCACGTTGAACTGTGCTGTTACAATAAATGTTAGCTTTGCTCCCAGAAAAATTAAAAGTCCTCAACTAAATAGTCGACAGGTTAACAGAAAAGTCTCTAAAAAGCTTAGTATTTCAGTGATATTTTAATATACTTCTTAATTAATTTTCAAGTTTATTAATACAAAACCATAAAACTGAGCTCAGGTCTGTCTGAAACTCAGAGCTGTTTGTTAAGTATTTGCTATGGGATTACATGGAGTCCAAGCCAGTATTGAGTCTCCTCTTCAGACGTGACATGACAGATCATCAGAGGCTGACTCCCCTCTGTTAAAACTGGATGGGAGAACACTCTCGTAAATCTGTTTCTTGTTTGCTTTTGGATAACGTGCCATGTCAGTGGGCAAAATGTTCCTCTGCTGCTGCCACATCTGCCAAGCGCAGCAATTTATTTTAAAGCACTGATGTTCATTGACGCTAGAGGCGTTTGATCGTGATTCGAGGCAACTATTGTCCCCGTACTGTTTTTTTTTAAATGGAGACAACGCAGGTTAGAAAAGTGCTTATAATGTTTGAATGCTCCGCTTCTTCTTTAGACATTTATTTAGTGCTGATTTATATGCAATCCCCCCCTCCAAAGCTAAGCTAACTATAGAGTAAATACCGTTCTGCATTTTTTGTGATGCAGAAAACTCAAGCCTGCCTGTTGTTGACAATTTCCAGAAATCCAGTGCAATCTGAGGATTTATACCCTGTTCATTGGACAGTTACTTAAAAAAAGAAATGAAAGAACTTGCCTAAAAACCATACCGAAAGAACTTGCCTAAAAACCATACCCACAAAGTAAACAGATACTGACTGAAAAACAACATAATGTAAACAGTTATGTATCCTTAAATACAATTCGTAAGCAGTAGTTTAATTGAGGCTATTGTTTTAGTGATAAACCTGAAATCATTAAAATTTGGAAAACAAACATTCTGTTAATTTATATCAAATATTTTGTGTTGTAGATGGCACCTTACTTGCAGTTGGATCCCATGACAACTTTATTTACCTCTACGTAGTAACAGAAAATGGAAGAAAGTATAGCAGATATGGAAAATGCACTGTAAGTTTTGGAGCAAATATAATCGGCAGTTCTTGCATGTTGATGTTATACATACACTAAGATGTTAAGCAGCCAAACTCTTTCCGGATTGGTGCTTTTCCATATTTAGTTTTGGTTATAGGTTTTACGGGGGTTTGTTCAGCGTTTGATTGATTTTAAACTTGAGTCTGATGGGTACTGCAACCATTAGTATTAGGTGAACACTTTTGCGTCAAATATGACTAATTTCTCAGACTATTGACTTTTTCTTTGAAATGGGAAATTAGCAGTAAGATGGAGAAATGCCTTGTACCTACATGCTGAAACTCTTTCAGGGAAAATACTACACTTGTTTGGGGGTATTTTCCCCCGATTGGTAAAGTACTCCTTGGACCAACATAACATTAGATGGTGGAATTTCATTAGAATATGTAATTTTGGAGGTTGCAAATATGCACTATTTTCAGCTGTAATTGTTACTACAAAATTTGGAATTGGGGGGATATGTTAACAATAAATTTCTGGCACAGGGTAAATAAATGTAAGTGTAGCACAAGTAGTGGAGTTTATATTAGTCCTTAGACTTATATGAGGTTGTCCCAGTGCTAAAAAGACTACTTTTTTTTTTTTCCTTAAGTGTTTGGTTATCTAACATCCTAGCCTTAAGTTCAACTGTCTCTTTAGGTTAGTGGGAATATTTACATAAAGAACATCTGAACCTTAATGGGATTTGCAGATGATACCATCAGAATAGGTTCACATTTGACATGTGAAATTTTTTTTTTAAGGAGTGTGTCCCCTGCTGAAAACACTTTTCATACGTTTGTCAGCAATTGCATTTCTTTAGTTTTAAAAATAAGAGAACTTCTCAAGCTGCTTTGTTGATATGAAAATGGGAGGTAAGGGGACCATAAGGATAAATTGTGGGTGGGGTTTTATTTATTTATAAGAATTATTATTATTCTATAACCTTTGATGCAAGACTTGCAAGACTGTTAGTTAGGGGGAAGCGAACAGGCATTAGCCAGTCCTTTAGTGTCATGTATGGTGTTTTTGAGAGATTTCTACCCATCATTTGGCTGAGGACGCCCTGCGCTGCTAGAGCATGGGGGTCCAGAGCAGCCTGGGTCCAGCTGCTGCTGGGGGCGTGGGGCTGCCAGGGCAGTCAGCAGCGGTGGGTTTGCTCCGTCCCTGTGGTGTGCAGGCTGGCAGGGAGGGCTCGGCGCTGGCTCGGGATGCGGCTGGGAGGGAAGGCTGCTGGGTGTGCTGGAGACTCCTCGATGGCAGGGTTGTGGTGCAGGGTGAGCCAGGGCATCCTGCAGCCCCTGAGCAGGGTGGTGACGGGGTTAGCCCATAACACAACAGCCGTGAGATGAGAAATTGGGTCTGCAGCCTTTCCGGGGAGCTCAGGCAGTGGGGAAAGGACTGAGCCTATAGTGAGGTCAGACCGGGGGCCCAGTGGGGATGGCAGTGGATGGCTGCACCTCAGTACAGCATTTCACCCCATCACTTATTTTTTTAACCATAAAAGATAAAATCACTCAGAGTCGGCTAATCTTAACATACATAATATTTAGCTTGCTATGTACTTCAAGTTCTCTGTGAGTTCTTTGAAGATGTACGAGAACGTTTATTTCTGTATATCGTATGTATTACGTATCAGGAGAGAGCATATGGTAGTTTAAACCAGCATCTGTATGTCTTGTCTGTCCCTCTGCCTTGGCGGGGAAGAGGTTTGTAAAAATTGGGATGGGAGACATCAGCATTGTTATACTCGGGCAGAAGCGTTAAGGCTTCAAAGCAGATTTCTATTAACCATTTTTTTTTCTGTCTGAGTGACTGCGTGTAGAAGCCAAAATTAGCAACTTGGTTTCTGTCGGGGCTGAGCTCCCCTGACCCTTCCAGCTTGTGCAGAAGGCAGCAGCGTGTTAGCTGACCAGAGCTAACGCTGCTGATCGGGTTTCATGTGCCCTGCGCCTCCCCTCTGCTGCCTGCCAGCACGCTGGCGGGTCAATACCAGCTTGATGCTAAGCAGGGCATGCTTAGCAGGGCATGCTAATCCAGGCATGCTCAGGACCCAGAGCACTCTCCCGGCCAGTGCTTGGGCACTGGCACTGCCTCTTTCTGGTGGTGTTCTGTCATTCAGTAGCCTTGCGGGTGACCCCCAAGTAGTATGACTCAGTCCTACTGGTAGTCAACTTCTGGTTGTTTCTTCCGACTTGAATACGTTATTTGAATACTTTCGGGAGGATTTTATCTACTGAACCAGCATCAGCTTGTGCATAAGGGCTGCATGCCCACTGTTAACATTTAAATCCCCTTTCAGTCATGACCAGGCTTTCTGCTGCTGCCAGAGAGAAGAGTCTCTGACCTGTGAGCGTGTTTCCACAGTGAGGGGTGGTGTTGGTTGTGATCAGAAAGAATTTCAGATGGGCCGAAACAACCGTTTCGACTTGTGCAGCTGTTTTTTGAGGGTTCCAGCTATGTAGACAGCAATGTGAAGGTATGGGCTGGGTTATGAACTTCCAGCGTGTCAGCAGCTCCAAGGTAGCTGGCGCTGTGTCTGTTTGTCTTGCATCAGAGATATCTGTTAGCAAAGGAGAAGCAAGTGCCGTGCATTTACCGAGAGGGCTGTGGGGTGAAAGCCACATGGGCAGCCACGCTGAAGTATTTGACACACTGCACTTAACCTGAAATAATTAGTGTGCCCGTCCTATGGGCTGTGGGCATTTCGGCCCTTGCACCACTTAAGTCTGAAACAGATAAACATTGCCAATGAAGGAGAGGGTTTCCATTTGGTCAGATAGTTTTACTAGCCAGTGATAATGTGAGTAATTATGTTCATTGTATACAAAGGTACAGAAGAGGAAAGAGTAAAATATTGCCTTATCAGTGGGCAGCTACCAAAGAAAGATTTTAATAGAAAATGGGATTGTCCTATTGAAAATATTACGACAATGTTATGTTCCAGTTCATCATTCGGTGATCGCTTGCCTGAAGGGATTTTGCAGCATAGAGCCCCCTGGCCAATTGCTTTGTTCCCTCCCCCGCCGCCCCCAGGAATTTTAACAGCTGCCAAATGTCTGGCAGGATTTAGTAAATGACTGACCAATTCTTTTCCATGTTGGAGTTCGCTTGCAAATTTGAAGACTTGGAAAATAGGGGGGGGGGAGGAAAAATCCTAGCCAATTGTGCATTTTTTTTTTTTTTTAATAACAGGTTTTTTTTTTTTTTTTTTAAATACCAGGTTTGCATGCCGATATCGTATATCACACCCATGACTGCAAAGTAGTTATGTCAATACACAGTTCCTCTGCTTGAGGCAGAGACTTGTTCATAAGTAAATAAATCTTAAAGGCTAGGTTTTCTTCTAAATGTTTTTGCAGTCTCTCACAGAGGACCTGGGGACAGGGAGACAGACACGGGTGTATTTCTGCATGTAATTCTGGAAGCAATCAGCATCTCTTAGAGTTCTCTACAGAGGAAGTTGGCGTGGTGGGTGGCGCAGCAGCCAGTGCAGTGCTCCAGCATGGCCCTGGCACAGTGGGTGCAGGTTGGGCCAAGAGACCTTGCCGGGGGGCTGAGAGACGCCATCTTCATAATGCCCACAGAGAGAGGGAGACGAATTGGCATCTGTCAGTCAAGAAAGTGGTGTTTTGTTGCCTGGCAAAATGACTAGGAAGGAGAGAAAATGGATGGTCTTACAAGGGGAAAGGGAGCAGTAAGAAGAAATGGAAGGGTGGAAGACAAAAAGAGTGACGTGGACGTCACTTTTATTAATTTCCTACACTTTCCTCTACAGAGAAATAATTTCTTCCTACCTTATACAAACTTGCAGCTTCTCTGGAGCCTCTCATATCTTTATTATTACTACTACTATTATTATTATTATTATTCCTACCAACAAAAAGTTCATGCACAGGAAAACTATTCTGACAGTTCCATTTAGCTTCTCCCTCAAAAACAAAGATGGGTGTTTAGCCCTCAGTGTGCTCTTGATGGTGATAGCTAAGCGATAAGGCCAAAGTGGTTTGATTCTTATATAGATGACCCTGTGCCTATAGGGAAGACTCCTTTCAAAGCTGGCGCTAACACGCATGCAGTGCAAGAAGCACAGCAGAAACTTTCAAAAAGCTTATGAGGGTATTCTTGTAACACCAGTCCTTGATCTTGTAGTTTTACATGGTGGTTGTTAACCAAGGTATCCTAAGTTTTTAGGATGAGCGAAGGTTATCTGAATGTGCATGCATTTAATGGAAATTATTTTGAATGGGCAGAGAAATAAAATAGTCCTATCTGTTTCTTTTCTGATGGGATCTAAAAATGATCCTGTGTAAGTTACTTGCCTTTCTCAGCTGGTAGCAATGTATACTTTCTTAATTCAAGTACAAACGTGAGTTCATCTGTATTTTAGCAATGTACCTTCTAGGAGTAAATCATTCTGGGGTCTGAGAGGGATGACGCTGTTTACAAGTGAAGAATCCACCGTGCAGTGGGCGAGGCGCGATGCCCAGCCTGCGTGTGTTTAGCTGTTAGCGAGTGTGGCACTGGGGAGTAAGGAGCCTTTAAAGGAGCACAAGTGAACTGCGGCAGACCTGGGGTGGGTGGGGAGGTGCTTTTTTGCTGTTAGCTGTCCCATCTGCGGGTGCAACTTCTGTTTGAATTAAAATACGTGTTTCACGGTGGTGTTACTGCATTCTTCTCCAGGGACATTCCAGCTATATTACACACCTTGACTGGTCCCCGGACAACAAGTATATAATGTCAAACTCAGGAGACTATGAAATACTATACTGTAAGTATGAAAATAAATACACTGGAAACAGAAGTATGTATTAGCTGTCAGAATATTTAGAAGAGTGTGTTTGCTCAGGAGCGTACAAAATGCTTACTGACAAAGGAACCAATTTGAACTTGTGTAACCTGATATCTTGATGTTATTCAGAGCTGTGTATTACCTAATGGCAATGCCAAATATAGCTTACTTCTTTACAAGGTCATAAATCAGTTTAACAGCGTAGAATTTACAGACCAAGTGGCACTACGTATTGATGTTGACCCAAAGTTCTGTAGATTGAAAATAATATATACGGTTGTCTAATTAGCGTCAACAGTATCAGTTATTTTGGGGGAATAAAATCAGAGGGTCTGTGCCACTGTTCTGTTCTGGGGTTTCTTTTTTTAAACTTTATCTTGGCTGGTGGTGTTGAAAACTAAGCAAAGCAATAATACTACTTTAATGAGTCAGCGGTAATAATAGTTTTGTGTTTGTCTTTTTTTAATATGTGAAAATATGAATTTAATATATAGTGGTTATGTCAAAAGTTCAACTTGCACAGTGCATATCCGTCTGTTTTTAAATTTGGGTTTGTATTCTTGTCTTCCTGTGGCTTTAACAAATCCAAGAGGATTGTAGTTCTGTTCCTGTACAGGCAAGAGCGAGCCATCAGTTTAAGTATCTGTTACCTTAACATGTTCTTTCTGCCTGTCACAACTTAGGTTTCAAATCTGGATAGTGCAATATCTCAATCTACCAAAAGGGCGTGTTGGTGTTTATAATTGCCTGTATAGGGAAGCAAAGAGCTGTGACCCATTAGTACTGGGCTGGTGTATTGCAAGATGGACATTCTTTTGGGAAACAATCTTTCCTAGTTAGAAGTTGAAACGGAGTCTAAGGCTCCTCTGCCAGTAGTTTCTGACTGTTTTAAAAGCAGAGCTTCCTGAATGATTGATTGAATTTTTGCACATCAGTGGAGCTGGTAGGAAGGAGAAATTATTCTATTACAGACCCTATTAAAGCATTTTGTAGAGTAGGTAGCAGGGGACCCAAGCTGCAGGGAAGTGTTTTCAAGGTATGCTGCTCTGAAGAGGGAAATGAGAAGTAAACATGACTCTTAAATACCAAGCAAAGCTTCAAGTATCTGGAATTTGATAAAGGTACTGGTCTGTCTTTGCCTCTACAATGTGATTCCAGATTGGTTTTAAGATGTGTTTATTTACTGTCTTAGCACCTTCAAAGAGCACATATGTAATATAAAATTATATGGCATAACTCATCATTCACTTTTTTTACAGGGGACATTCCAAGTGGCTGTAAGCTAATCAGGAATCGTTCTGACTGTAAGGATATAGATTGGACGACATACACTTGTGTGCTAGGTTTCCAGGTGTTTGGTAAGCAGCATTTAACTTGCTTTTAAGCTATTCACACTGTGCTTTTGTGTTTTCTTTTGCTTCAATTTGTCGTTAGAAATACGCTGTTAATGATTATTGGGGATGGTGCTGAGATGACAGGCCAAAGAGACTGACCACAGTATTTGTCTGTGATACAGAGCACGGGATGCTCTGTAGACAATGTATAATTGATTTCTATTTAGTCTTGAAGTTTGGGATTTGATTTTTCTGCTGTCATTTTAGGCTACCAGTTTTGGGGGCACTGAAGCAAAAAGCTGATATTGTAAAGTGCTCATATGGAACATGTGCATTCTCCTTTGCTTACCTTGTTTTGGGATAGGAACAAGACTATGTGAGTGTAGGTTATAGTTCATGACTTAAAATCATGACAGCACTTTGATACCTGTAGTCAAAGGTGAGTAATACACACGGCTTCTAAAGAGTGAAAATGCTTTAAAGATTAAACAGATTCTTTACCTAATAGTTTATTTTTTAAATGTTTAAAAAAATTTACAAAGCTGACAGATCCAGTTTTAATAGTGCAGTTTGAGACTGTGGCCAAAAAATCAAACTGCTTTTGCAAGGCAGCTCTGTTGGCCATAAATGAGGAGCCCCTCTGTGAGGGGTTGAAAAGTATGGTTCAGCCTGTCAGTGTTGTAAAACGAAGTTGTGCGAGCAGGATGCTGAATGTCTCGCATCCACCGCTGAGATCAGATACCTGCTTCTGTTCTTCATGTTGTTGGAAACATCAAAAGTAGGCAAATCAGCAGATTCTTTAGAGGTGAGGGTTAGGTCTACAAATCTTTTCTTCACAGCTACTAGGAGTTCAACTTTGAATATCAGTTTATATGCAGGGTAGAAGAAAATCAGTTAAGTCTGAGTGCTTTCTGTAGCTTCTGACACCTATCGTGCATATTTTAGGACTGTCGTGTGCTTAATGAGGAAGTAGTCTTAAAGGATTGCAGTTGATTTGTGGGCTAACACTGACACTCTTGTGTGCATATTGGTTGGGTGGAGGGCATTTGGTGCTTTCTAACCAGGCTTGATTTCCTTTCTGGGTATCAAAGATCTGAGGCAGAGCAGGGAAAATACAGGGGTCAGAGAAGGAAGCTGACTGGTTGATAAACTGCATAAATATTTTTGAGTTGTTTGGAGGTAGGTAGCAGAAATAAACAGGAGCGTGCTGTTTCTGGAGCTGAATACTGTTGCTTATTGCTAGTTTGATGAAAATATTGGCTCCCATTAGCTTGAGAACTGTGAACCGGGTTGCATATGTGGGTTTTTTTTAATTCAGTCTGTCTGGGTGAAGTAGCGAGTGGATGGCTGTTTCCTCCTGATGCTCTGTGCATGTAAGCCTAGGCTGACAAGGAATCGGTCCACAGCAGTCGTTTCCTCACTGTCGTTGCTACTGCGGCTAAAATAATAGTGCAACACAAATGCCTTTTTTAAAATGGAGTATCAGAAGATTCAGGAGACACTAGAGAAAGTGAAAAGCAAAACTCTCTGTTTGACACTAATATGACGTCTTTCTCCAGGAGCAATGAAAATACTTTGTAAGGACTGAATATTCCTTCTGGAATAGCCTTGGAGCTGAAGCCATTTTACATGTTATGCAGAGTACTTAAATCTGCCAGAAACGTGGAGGTAGCAGACAGTGGCTCTGTTGCTACTGAACTTTAACCACTACGTTTGGTGGTAGAGCAGACAGAGTAAGGGGAGCAGCTCTCTGAATCCCAGCGCTTTCCCAGAAGTGTCCTTTACTCCTGACCTAAGGAGATGAGGTGTGGGAGTGCAGAAAGAGTTTGGTTTCACATGTAGACCATTGGCTTTGTCTCTTTAACAGCTGTTGGATAGAAGCTACTGGTGACTGGGGCCAGGCTGGAGATGAGCAGCTCCCATAACCACTGTTGTGAGGAGCCTTTTGACTTTTTGTTTTTAAAAAGTGGATAAATCTGCTGATCCTGTCTGCATTCCCTTTTGGATTAATGCAAACTTTAACTGCTCTGGATTAAGTTTAATTAGTCTCAACTGCTCTCAAAATCTTCAGTGTGCCAGAGGACCTGGGAGTGAAGTAGATAAAGCAGATAATGTGATGTTGTTCTGGGGCAGAACAGAATATATTTAAACTTCCTAGCCAAGATTCATCATGCTTTAATTTTATATCATCTGGTAGTCTGACACCCTTCACAGAATCTTAAAATTATGGCTTGGTCTCAAACTAAGGCAAGTATTTTCCCATTAAATCAGACAGTGCAGCCAAGCCAAACTAGCAGATATTTGCTGCCCAGAGGAGAAGTCTGGCTTTGACCCGAGGGTCAGCTGGCTCAGGGATCCAAACAAGCCAGGGGCTGCTCACTTTGATGTTCAGGAAAGAGGGTTAAGTTTATGGGATTTTGGCTTTTGGGGTATGTGTTTTACTAATTTAGCTCTGTGGATAGTGTGTCCGTAGGCTCAGGCATTGCGCTGTCATCAGCAGAAGAAAGAGGATGGAAACGCATGGTTCGGATGAGAATAGCATCACTCCTTTTTGGCAGTTGCTATTACTATATTGGCTCAGCAGTATCATCAGTCTGCACCCCGAGCACTCGAAGTCACTCTCTCATTTACTGCACATTTCCCACACTTTCGTCTGAGCAGATTCTTTTGAGAGACTTACTGCTGGCTAGCAGAATTTATTAAAATTGAAGTGCTGCTGTCATACCTAATAACAAAGTCCTATTGTTTTGGGGTTTTTTTGTTATTTTTACAGTTATTAAGAACTAAGAACTTGGTCATATTAATGTCTTGTTTTTCCATGTTTGCCTGATGCATTGAAAGCAAATCCTGCTGTCTTATGACAAAGGGTTGTCTTACCTTTAGAGCTGCTAAAGGAATTTGTGAACACGAAAAATGTTTGATAATAGATGCAGCCTTGAATATTAGTCTTTTAAATCTTAAATTAAAAAGAAGAGGAAATAGCATAGCTGTTTGGCACAGTCTGCCTGAGGTGGTGGCTGAAACTTCAGGAAACTGATTTGAAGTTCATTTATTACTCCCACCTGATGACAGTATTTTATATATAGAATGCAGGAGAAAGTTAAAATTCATTCATTTTGAGCTACTTGAAAATTCTTAAATAGTATATATTTTTTTCAGATTGATTTCATTGATGCAAGAGCACTAAAATGTTTGTGAATACTTTCCTTAGCATTTCATGTCTTTATTTAGTAAATTACCTACAATGTAGCTTATTGGCATTGTAGCAAGCTTAACAAGCTGCCTTTGTTATTCTTCAGAGAAAATAAAGTTCTTACTCCACCCACTGAAGAATGGAAAAAACCAGCTTCAAAGCTAAACGCTATTTGCCATTTTGCTTAAAACCAAGAAAAGATAGTGTGGTGTTTGAAAAATATAAGGCAATTCTAAGTCGGCGTTTTGTGCTGTATAAAATAGTGGACAGCACGTGTTATTTATTTTACCAAAGTCAGCGATTGTAAGGGAGGAAGAAGATATTTTCATCTCTGATAATGGACATCCCTCTCAGTCAATCGGACACGCAGTTTTTTGGGGTGGGGGCTGAAATTTAAGGGGAGGGAAATTCCTCCTAACTCCTGAACTCAGAAACCCAAGTCTGAGCTGTAAAAATATGGTACCTTTGGCATAAATTAGTGTCTTATAACCCCTTGCTTACCTTTTGTTCAGCTTTTCTTGCAGATGTGAATCATCAGTTTAGTTACGGGAATCTCTAGGGTCTTCATTTTTTGTTAAAACTTAGAGCCTCCCCCCTCCCCAGTTTGTTCAGTGCTTTTCAACCAGGCAATGTTGTTATTCTTTTGTCTAGACATATCAGTGTCATTCTTCTCACTTAAAAGCATATTGAATTGTACTTAAGCACTTGACAGCACTTACATCTATGAAACTCATACAGGCTGGATTTCTGTGCAAAGTATCATCAATCAGTTGTCTCCTTTGAATCATGCAAATACTGAAAATTGCTCCAGATATAAAATAAAACCAAAAGAAATCTCCGCATAATGTACGGTACCTGGGCTTGTTCCATGCTTCAGCATCAGTCTTGCTTTTCAAACGTTTGTGCATGAATGAAAGTGTTAAATTTAGAGTTGCCAGTTTTAGCAGCAAACTTAAGCTGTTAACGAAACTGAGGTTTTGAACAGGAGGTGTATCAAGCCCGAGAAGTTATCCTGGCCGAGGCTGAGGGTTGGGGGGGACGGGGGTGGGGGAGCGGCATTAGACTAGCAAAATACTAATGACATTTATTAATGACATAATACAATGCGTATGCCATTTTCCAGTTGAATGTCTTATTTACCTTTTGTTAAGCTTGCCTTTTTTCACAGCTTTATAGATTTTATTTTGTTTATGTTTGTTTGTCTTTTAATTTGTTTCTAAAACTACCATCACTAAATATCTGCTCTACTCTCTCCTAGGAGTTTGGCCCGAAGGATCAGATGGGACAGACATAAATGCCCTTGTCAGATCCCATAACCGAAAAGTGATAGCAGTTGCTGATGATTTTTGTAAGGTCCATCTCTTTCAGTATCCCTGTTCCAAGCCAAAGGTAAGTCTAGACCAGTCTAGTCTATGTGCTTGTTTGCACTGCATGAAGCTTTCCGTGCCAGACACCTGCTTCCAGCTCAGTCGTTTTGGAACCCGGCAGCCAAATAGCTCATTTAGATCTGAGAACAGTGCTAGCAACAAAAGCATGGTTTTCCCCATTAAGTTTACATACAAAATAGAAAACATAAAATAATATGAAATAATATACCTGAAAGTGAAATGGCAATAGTTATCCTTAAGTTCTGGAGCAGAGGCTTGATGCTTTCTGTTGGCTGGCCTTGGTGTTAAGGCCATTACTTTTTGCATAAAGATCTAAATCCGTCCCAAGTTACAAGCCTTAAGAAGAGAGGATGTGTTGTGGGGGGAAACCTAATATAAATGTAATTCTTTCCTCTTACGTGAATAAAGAGCTCTCTTGAAGGACTAAGCAAAAGTAGTAGCAGTTTTAGATTTTGGTACCATGTGCTCTTCTAGTCAAGCATGTGATTTATCTTTCTGCTTGTTTTCGACAGGCTCCAAGTCACAAATACAGCGCTCACAGCAGTCACGTGACAAATGTCAGCTTCACCCATAGCGATGGTCACTTGATTTCAACTGGAGGGAAAGACATGAGTATTATTCAGTGGAAACTTGTGGAGAAGGTAACTCTACCACAAAATGACATTGTCGTAGACATTGGTGCAACCAAAGTGCCCATCCCTGCCAGTGAAAATGCTGTACAGTCTCCTGCACCTCTCCCACAACCTTTTAACGAAATGAACCAAAACGAAAGTGTAACTGGCAGCTCTCCGGCTTCTTTGGAGAGTAACTTGGAGCAGTCTGCGGAGGCCAGCGAAGAGCAAAGTGAGGAGCAGAGCGAGGGGAGCAGCCTGGATCCCGCCGAGCCGGGCTACGAGGAGCCCTCCAACGAGACGAGCGAGGAGCACAGCGAATCCACGGTCACTGAAGAGCAGCAAGATAACTCACCGGTGTCTTAACGCTCCCAGCTCAGGCGGTTGTTATTTTCCCTTGGTGTGCGTGCTTTCATTACAGGGTGAGAGTTCAAATAGGAAGAAGTAGCTGAGATTCATGACCACTCCAGCTTTTGAGTTTCAGTGAGATTTTTAGTCTGAGCTTCAGTTCAATGCGTGGAACCATCCCAAGGGCCTGGCTTGATGGTCTGTGTCAAGATCTGGTCACAGTTTGTAGTGGACATTACCGTAGATCCATTTCAGTTCTGAAATTGCTGTCAGGAAGTGGCGTGAAATAAATACTGGAAAAAAGGTTAGCTCTGAGAATTAGCTGAAGTAGACCACCTTAACTATGTGAAAGTGCTTTCTGAAAGAACTAAGCTGATGGGAAGCGCTGAGCTGTTCCAGCTGGGGAGTACTGTGCTGCTTTTTCCAGGTGCGAAGACAAACAAAACAAAAAAAACAACCAAAAAGGTCTTTGTAGGGCTGTTTTCCTTTGTTTTTTCTTAATGAGCAAAACAGAGGAAAAACAATGTAATGATGCCACATGTTTGGCGATGCCTTCTTGATCTAACGCATATGCAATTTTCTAACACTACTAATTCCTAAGTGGAGTCTGGATGTGCTTGCAGTTGGTCTGCCCTGGGTGCTGCTAGTTCTAAGGCAAATCCTGTCGAGGAACGGTGTCGGCTGTTCCATTTTCACAGCCTGTTTAATAACAGACTAACCAAATACTGGCGTGTTTCACTTTTCATGACCTGAAAGTTGATTTAAACTGTAGGACGTAATTGTCTCTTCAAAGAATTGCTTGCCTAGAGAGTTTGAAACTTAAGAGAGTCTTTACAGTGACTTTGATGTGAACAGCAGAGGAAGCGTGGCAAGAACACGGAAGTCAGTTGGGCTCCAGAGTTAAACTTTAAGCCTTCAAGCAGAACTGCTTCATCCCAAGTAGGAGAAATATAAATACAGTTAACTTAAATTATTAAATTGGTGCTTAGGATTAGTGTATTAAGTTGATAATTTTTTCTTCTGAATTTTTAGAGGTAACTCTAAGAATCATTAAACTGCAATCTCTTTTTTTTTTTTTTTTTTTCCCCTCCTGGCTCTTTTTGCAGTTGTGTT